AAACTACTTTTCAATTCATTAGTAATCTTTTTGCTCAACTTGGAACGCTGTCTCCACAAACGACTAAAATAGAAAGTGTCTTATACATTAATCGTCTTCTACAAGACAAAAAACAAGATACCAAATAATGCAGCGTGCAGGGAAGTGTATCAGAATACGATATGGTGAAAGCACTGTTTATTGTTAATTATAAGGAGATCCAGGTACGGATTTTCTTCGGGCGAGTTTAATGGCAACAAAGTCATACTCCATAATTCATTATTTTAATCTAATTTTGATGATCAACTTTAATTAAAAGACCTTGTTCAAGCGTGTCCGCTGGTTCTTGTTTCATAGTGAACAAGCATGATTAAGCAGATAGGGCAAGCAAGGGGAGGCCTGGACCACCCTAGAAATATATAAATATCTCTGGCGATTCCCACTTACTACCACAAAATTAATTAAGCGCCTAACTTCGTATATAATGACAAACTAATCAAGTCAGTGCTTATCCGCTGATTGTTACAAATAAATAATTAAAAAATGATGAAGAAGAAAACAATAGAATGTGTTGCTGGAGCGAGTCTCGTCACCGAAGGGAAAAGGAGTAGGTTTTCAGGGGTTGCTTTTTGAGTTTACATGAGAACTAAGAAATTAAAGAAATTAAAGAAGAAATGAATGGAGTGAAAAGTTGGAGACGTGTATAGTTTCCGTGAAGTTGAATGTGAAATTAAAGGCAAGGGATGGGACGAGAAGGCGTTGAACAAAGTTGCGGGTTTTGTTGACAAATGATGCAACGAGCCTTTTTCATTGGTGAAGCCTTGAGCTTCATAGGATTTGCCGTCACCGTACTCCAATTTTTCTTTTCATTTTTTCATTCTTCCCCTTAAAATATTTTAATAAAACTTGCTATATTTTGTGTGCATATATAGCTATATGAGTGGCATAGAAAATTAACCCCTAAATTGCAATTTTCATTCTTCCCCTTATAATATTTGAATAAATGAGTAAATTAATATTTAAATTATAGATTTAAAAGCATTTAAAATTTTAAACTCATCTTTTATGTAACATTCCTCTTCAACTCTTGAAAAGGATTCAATTTGATCCTTCCTTTCAACAAAAGTTAATTTTAATAATCACTTGACCAGAAAATAATAGAAAAGGACATAAAAAATAGTAAAAAATTGTAATTTTTTGTTCTTTTTAGTCATTATTTGTAATTTTGGGTTTTATGCTATAATTTTTGAGACTTTTTTTTTATCATTTTTTGTTTAATAACTATCAAAATTAATTTTTATTAACAACAGGAATTAACTTGTATCATTTTTTAAAAATTAAAGAGAAATATGACACAAAATATAAGTTTAAGGTCTTGAACACTTCTAGACCTATAACTCAAGGGTTAATTTATTTATTTTCACCAAGCTCATTTAATCTTACATGACAATATATATATAATGTAACCCAAGATTCTAAACTTTCATCTTATAATATAACGATGTGTTGTTAGTTTTTGAATGGCATTCGCTATTTTGCTAATATCATTTGTTAATTTGATATAGTTAATTATAAATTGTGAGCTTTAAAAATTTATATATTTTATAAGTTCTCATTCATTAATTAACATTTAAATGTCGTTAAAATAATATATTCATATAGGTAATAAAATTAGTTCCAAACTACTTATTTCTTATAATATAACAGTGCATTGTTATTTTAAATTTTTTTTGTCATGTCAAAGCCTGAATAAATTATTATTAATCGTGAATGAGTTATTATTAAAATTTAAATGGCTTGTTGTCCATACAGGATGAATACTTATTCCATTAAAATGTTGTCAGTTTTTCTAACTTGTTAAGCACGACTTGGTTGTTATTGTCAAAATTTGAATAAATACTTGTTAATGAATGACTACTACTTATATAATTAAGCTCATTCTATCAGTTTTTCTAATTTCTTAAAGCTTAAATAGATTGTTAATTTCAAATGATTTATTGTCAAAACTCAAAAGAATATTTGTTATTGATAACTGACAACATGGGTCTCATGGAACAAGTATTCACTTTGTATAAACAACAAGTCATTCAATTTTGATAACAACCCATTCATGATTAACAAGTAACATTAGAAGTATAATATTAATTAGTAAAATAACAAGTTTCATTTAATAATTAAAAAATGCTATTTGAATTTTAACAACAATCTATTCGTAATTAACAATTCATTTGAGTTTTATCAAGATAGAAAAACTAATTTTAAAATTGACAATACACCATTATGTTATAAGAAACAAGTTGTTTGGAACTAAAATTAATTATCTATATGAACATGTTATTTTAATGACATTTAAATGTCAATTAACAAATAAAAACTTGTAAAATTCATGAATTTTTAAAGCTCCTGATTTTATAATTTACTATGTCATATTAACAAGTAATATTAATAAAATAGTAAATGTCATTTAAGAATTAACAACATATCATTATGTTGTAACATGAAAGTGGTTTAAAATCTTGTATTACATATATATATATATATATATATTGTCATATAAGATTAAACGGGTATGGTGAAACTTTTAGGTGTCTAAGGGTTCATTGAATCAAATTCTACTTGGCCATTTTGAATCATATTGTCATTTGATCTTGCAATAATATTTCAGAATGTTTTGGTCGGTGATTAATATTATTAAACCCTTTTAGCATTTCATGAATGATATTTTCCTGAAGAACTTTTTCTTCGGCAAATTAAAATTTGAATGCAATCATATCTAGATTCCCACGGTGAGTGATAATATAAATTTTTATATTGAAGGATTTGTAGTGTCATCAAGACATCAACAATATTTAGAAAATAATAATAATAATAATAATAATAATAATAATAATGACGACTTCTTTGTTGAGCATTTATTAACAAAAGAATTTTTCCTTGCCCAAATAACTACCATTGCGTGTCTTCTTTGAACTTTTGCATCCCTACTTGAATTTTTCTTGCGGCTAGCAAGTTATGGAGGCGAAAGATCAAAAATTGACGAAAGAGAATATTGAATTGGAGAGTGGCTGTTACCTTTTGTTTCATTAAAATCATATTTATTTTCTTTAAGTAGACAGATTTCTTTTCTTTTACATTTTCAATGTATGTGATTTGATTATGATTGACTTGTAATTTTATATTGAGCATAGTTTGTTATTTTACCTAGATTAACCTTGCCACATTTTTTGTAATTATTGTCATTAATTGTAAATTGAATTTTTCCTACTTTGTTTCCCATTATATTTTCATGTTTTTGTTTTGTATAAACTCTCTTGTACGGACTGGAAGCGCAAAACTATCTAGGGGTAATTCTCTCTCTTATAATTCTACTCCTGTCTTTTCTATCACACAGCATCAAACCAAATCTTTATTTCTTGTAATTCACACGTGCTTTGATGCCTAGAATTGGATATCTAAATTGTACTCTCTGTTTTTTTTTTTTTTTTGCACGCAGTTGCCAGTTCTATAAACAACATTTCGTCCCAATAGTTATATATTTCTATCTGGCTTTTTTTTTTTTATTGAAGCAATCCTATTTCCTATTTGATAAATTGTTGGTACTAAATATGGACTGGACACATCTTTTAACTACCATTATGTGTATAAGTAGCCAAATTGATGTATCTGACTTATGAATAGTATTATAACTTGAGATACAAATTAAAGTTTTGGTTTAAAGCCTAACCATGTTTGGATATAGATAAATAGTAAATAATTATTAAACAAAGAGGGGGCATTGTATTCCCAGAAAAATTAGGCCAATAATTGAGAATCTTTGGCTAAAATAAATTGTAGTATGTTTTCACGGAGAGATTACTTGTGGAAGGAGCATTAATATGTGTAAGTGGGATTCAAATCTGAGAGTGAAGAAATGAAATATGAATGGACATTGTTTGGGAAATTGGAGAAGGCCAGCCAATGAGTCGACCTAACCTTAGTGCATGATTAGGGTTAGCTGGGGACAAGCCCGTGCACTCGCTTCCACTATTAGGTTTCAAATTATTTCATTAGTTGTAGATCAGCTCACATCACACCCCTCCTTACCTGTGCTTGTCCCTTTTCATCATTCCTCAATCGCCACTCCTTTGCTATACATTATACATATGCAGCTCACCCTGTCCATCATTGTATCCTCCATTGTTCCGCAACACCAGCATGCCATGTTGCTTTTATGTCTTTTAACATTTAAATCATCACTCCCTTGTGAACTTTGAAGAATGATGCTTCGAGCAAAACAAAATTTAGTTTAAATCATCCATGGCATTTAAACATGACCATCAACGTCATCATCAATCAGCTGAGTTTGAATTCATAATTAACTTTGCGAGATATGAATGGCATATTTGTCAATTGGATGGAATTCAGTACAGGATTTTATATTATTTGTTATAGATAATTCATAATTGAATAACTATAAAATAAAACTAATTTTTTAGGATTGAAAACTAAAATACAGTGAAGAATTCAATATTCAACTCCCATTGCTAGCAGTTGAGGAACCGAATTGCTCATGAAATTGAAACTGAGAGCCTTGAATATGATTGTCCGAGCATGCACATATATAATATACCGAGGACAAAAGCTGAATAGCTTGGCCAAATTGAGTGGCCGAAATTTTGATGAACTTAAATATTAAGAAACCAAGCAAGTTGGAACAGGACAAAGGATGGGAAGGAGCAGCCTCATGTAATGAGAAATGCACTGAAATAAACGAAAAGGCTAGCTATTAGTTTAGTTTGATAATACTGAGGGCGAAATTGGTGTGCCTAAACCGATGCCGCCATAAAGATATATTACATAGAAATGCGTTCATAATCACGAATCATATCTGAGATCGCAGGATTTAAATAATTATGGAAGCTGAGAATTAAATTAATAACAAAATTGATAAGACGAAAGAAGGGTGAGGAAAATGAAAGCGAAATATAAAGGAAAGAAGGAGGTGGATTCCTTGAACCCAACGCATCTGCTTGACCCGGCTTTGGAGCTGGGTCCGGAATTGGGTTTGGTTGTGGACTTTGTGCGGATAAGAACGGCCCCTCTCTTCCTACTTCTTCGCCTTCTTCTCTCCTCTGTCTTAAGACCATCATCTTCTACCGCCTCCTTCGTACATACCCTCTCTCTCTCTCTCCCCCTCACACCGTCTTCACTCTTCTAAAAGTTTCTGCTTATATTTGCTCTGAAAATCTCTTACATTCCTCATTACCTCATCAGACTCTGTCTCTTCTCTGTTCTTTCAAGCTGGCGATCGAACGCCAAGACACCTTTGTGAAGGAAATTAAGCCCAAGAACAGGAGAATCATGGTATTACTTAATACTTACCAGTGTTTGTCATTTTGTTTTCTGTGTTTCTCTTGTTGGGTCTGTGCTCGTGTTGGTGCCCTGTTTTGAAGTTTCTGGTTTATGGGTGTGATTCTGATTGTGAATTTCTGTTTTGATGGTTGATTTTGAAAAGGGTGCTGGAGGTCCTGGCGATGAGGACAACAGGTGGCCGCCATGGTTGAAGCCTCTGCTCAAAGAGAGCTTCTTTGTTCAATGCAAGTTACATGCCGATTCCCACAAGAGCGAATGCAATATGTATTGCTTGGACTGCATGAACGGTGCTCTCTGCTCTCTCTGCCTCGCCTTCCACAAAGACCATCGTGCCATTCAGGTTCGTTTCTCACTTTATAACTTCACTTTTTTCTCACATTCGTGGTTCATCTCTTCGTCTTCATTCATTCAGCTCTGTTTGTTATTATGATTTACTGTGCTGAATTCTTAACTGTCAGCCGTTTTCGGATTTTCCCTCCGCGGTCTGCATTCATTAGTTCATAATGAAACCGAGTGAAACTCGTGTTCTGTAACTCTCATTGATGGAAACCGAACTTCGATGTTTTTTGACAGATTAGGAGGTCTTCGTACCATGATGTGATTAGGGTCTCGGAGATTCAGAAGGTTTTAGACATAAGTGGCGTCCAGACCTACATTATCAACAGCGCGAGGGTAGTGTTCCTGAACGAGAGGCCTCAGCCTAGGCCTGGAAAGGGCGTCACCAACACCTGCGAAGTCTGTGAACGTAGTCTTCTCGATTCATACCGTTTCTGTTCTCTCGGCTGCAAGGTACCTAATTTGCACAATGCCTTTACAGTTTCAGTCACGGAATAAGAAAAGTGAACAATGTCTTTCTCTTGTTAAGCTGTCGTTGAACAAATTGGGAAAGAAACATTGAAAAAGCTTGCTTTTTGGAATCACTGGATCTGAACATGGTCTCTTTTTAACAGATCGTCGGGACTTCAAGCGATTTCCAGAAGAAGAAGAAGCAGTCAGCGGTAATGGCGACGGACTCGGAGGATTCGTACAGCAGCAGCAGCAGCCACGGCCGGCAGAAGTACGGCAAGTCTCAGGTTCAGAGCTTCACCCCGTCAACGCCGCCTCCGACTTCGGTGAATTACAGAACGGCCAAGAGAAGAAAGGGAATTCCCCACAGAGCCCCAATGGGAGGACTAATCATAGAATACTAAGAAAGTTTAGTATTTTAGGGTATTTACTACCAGGTCCTCGCGTAGATAAGTATTACATAGCAATACAAGTGACACGACGTCGTTTGATCAGCATCAGCAACCAACAATAGTCGAGCCTTTTGGGATCGAAGTGTGGGTAGCGGCTTCTAGCATTGTATATAGAAAGTGCAATAGGAAAGAGGAAAGGTTTAAGAAAGTAGAAAATAAGGCATGTATGGAAGAGTCGATGGTGATGTGAGAGAAAGAATGGCGTAGCAAAATAATAAGTAAAAGGTTCTTTCAGTGGAGCCTAGTATGATATGGAAAATAGTATTACATAGGATAGGCCTTGTGGAAGTTACTATACATAAGTTTTGGGATTGAGTTGTAAATACTAAATAGCACTCTTTTTAAAACAGGTGGACTGTTAATAATATATCGAATGCTAAATTAAGAAGTAAGAATTTTTATTAAATTTTGTATGTGTCTCCGGCCCCCGTGTTATTTGATGCAGTTATTTCTGCCCTTAAATGCAGATATGAATCGAGATTGTCCAAACAAATGCCATATCACTTCAAAATTATTGTTGAGTTCTGTCTGGGAGTCATACTTATACTCGTATTATGTTGCTGGAAAATTTTTCTTCTGAAAATTTCTTCCTGATTTGAATTACTTGAATTAAATTTTAATAACTTATATTGATTTTTTTGTTTATTTTGATACAAAATCTATACGAAAATTGATACTCTACTCGGCCAGTTCCCAAAAAATAAAAGGAAATTAAAAGGTGTGCAATCAAAATGTTTATTGGTATTTTATTTTTATCCGTCAAATTTTATGATAGCTCTCTTGTAATATAAACACAAGAAATAAAAAGAGTATGGTATATTATGTGGTGAGCGGCGAAGGCAATAAATAAGCCTCCCAACATCGCGGGGCCCGCGGAAGCCGGTTTATGTGGGGCGGGTTGAGTTCGCGTTGTCTTTATTCACACGCGTCGCTCGTTGACTGGCTCAGGGGAAAGCGAGACGTATTGGTTCTCGAAAATAGGGCGGAGGTCAACCGTCGGCCGCCCTGCATAAGGATAAAACATAAAATTAGTTCGGAATTGGGCATCGCTGGAGGGCGTTGATAATGATGAACTGCTGAGATCATTAGAGGGGTAGATCGGGAAATTAGGACATTGGTGGGGAGGGAATCTGGCATGACCTTGGACGTGCGGCTTGTATTGTGAGGAGGAAAAGCAAAGTAGGATTGGTGGTAATATGAAAAGGCCGTGTCACTGAATTTCCCATAGTGGTAATTAAATCAGTTGATGGGTCTAATCAACATATGGCAACACTGTTAAGGTGGAAAGGAATGATGCTTCATGTGATGTTTTACTGATTCAGCTGCCCTCCCAAGCCCCCGCGTTTCCTTCTCTCACAATTATATACCTGTCTCCCCTCCAAATGGTAACAAGGATTTGGAATCCTTTTACTAATCAAGAATGCATTTCAACAATAACAAGACTTATATCTTATGAGATAGGGTCAGTTTCAATGTGACAATGTACTGTAATTGAGAATATATTACATGTTTTAATAAAAGAAAGAATCTATTACATGTCATCAAAAACGTAACATATTCTAAATCGATGATTTTTCTCAGGGGAACATTGGTTTTTTTTTTTTTTTGTGGGGGGGGGGGGAGGAAGATGGGTGAGAGTCAACTGAAGGGCGTTTTGTGTCTTGTCACAAGGGTTGTTACTTGTTCCTGCTTTTTTCTTTTTGGGTAGTCTTTATTTTATTTTATTTTATTTTTGCATTTTATGAACTCACTCTCAGGTGTCGCCCTTTACCTTTTTGACCCTGTTTTTGAAAGACGGGCGAGTCATCGGGCACCAGACGCTGTCACACGTTTTACGTGGAGAAATGGAAGTGGCACACGTGACTCGGCGATGCCTTACGCGTGGGTTCCTCCCATTAGTGACCTCTTTCAATTACGGAGTCGTATTATTAGTGATCCTGGCACATATATACCGACCACGATTTATAATCATACTTTTGACCACTGCTGTTAGTTCTCTATCTTTTCTGTTCTTTTCATTAAATTAAAAAGGAAAAACAAAAACAAAAGAGCTCGAAACTCTAGTCGATGCAAAACGAAGCGGTCCGTGCATGTGAAAGTTACTTTTGTTTTCGCCCGCCCGCGACCCCAACATGTGTAGATTCTTCCAAGGTTGCTGCCGACACGTGTTAAAGTCATTTTACTCGAGATATAATTTTTTAAAAAGAAAAAAAAGGGAAATAATTGAATAAAAAAGGCTTTGGTGATAATATAAGAAATGGAGGTGGGGGTAGTGAGGAGTGACGCGTGGCCTGACGTGTCGGGCAGCGAATGGGGCTGGGCGCAATGGAAAGGGGGTATGAGTTGAAGGGTGAGGAGAGTGACACGTGGCATGGAAAGTTCGAGGTCTTGGCGGTCAAATGCCCGATGCATCATAGACCGAAATAAATACAAAAAATAAAAAAGGAGAGAAAAAGAAGGTGGGAGGCATCGGTGCCACAACATTCTGTTGCCACTCTCACAATAGCTAATGGACGAAAGCACTGATGCCGAATTGCCAATAAGGCAATAACCCCTTCCCCTCGCCCATTGACTCCACTCCAATGTGGCCATACCTCGTCCATTTTGGGATACCTAAAAGACATTTTCTGTTCTGGATTTTTTAAATATAGATTCATCACTAAAATTTTATAATTTCAAAAACAAAAAGATCCAATAAGCTACATTTTGTTTTCTTAACAACACTTTCAACAAAATCACATTATTCACACATATGAATTTTTCATTTTTTATCATAGCGAACAAAAATTGCTCTTTCTTTAGATACATTGAAATTAAAAAAAAAAAAGAATCATTTCATGATTAAATATGATAAATATATAATTTCTTAATCATAACATGATAATGTATTTTCTCGATTAATAAATATAAAATATAGATTCTTTTTTTAGCAAAATAAAATATAGATTCAATACTTAAGGTATTGAGGGCAATTTTTTTTAAGAATATAAAACGTTCATATGCATAGAATTTTTATACTTAAAAGCATATCTATACAGTTACAGTCTGCATGTATGTAGTTTTTAAAAAATAAGTTACAGATATTGATCATGTTTTTGTGCCCTGCACAATTCATTAACGAGTCATATGAACCCGTCAAATTTTTCATCAGGATGATGGACTAGAACCTTTCAATTCAAGTAATTAACCACAAATTTAACTTGAAAGAAAATCATCTAATGTTTCGTTATTTATTGTTTTGCACAATCTATTGATCATGATGAATATGATTTCTCATTCATTGCTTTTCCAATTTTTATAACCAAAGATTGAAGCACGTGCTATACTTTTTCTCCATTTATGTTAATGCCATACGTACATGTATGGTCGTATTATTGTTTAATTATATAACTTGTACTCTCCTCGGTCTTGTTTGCAGGACATTTTTTTAAAGTAATTTTTTATTTAAAATATATGACACTTTATAATAATTAAATCACATTTTTTAATTTTATCCTTCTTTAATTAATATGAATGTTTTAATATAGTTGCATCATATTTTAAAGTAAAAATAAAAATTAAGGTATATCTTATTTTTTTATGATATTAAAAAATTAATTTTTATTAAAATATATAAAATGATTGAAAGTGTTTTAAAATAAAAGTTAAAGAGGGTATAATTTTACTTAACAACGAACTATCAATCACCAATTGGTTAAAAATATAACAATTGTTGAGAACCGCCTAGGACAAAATTCCTTTTACTAAGCTCATACAATCGGCGAAAAGATGATTTATTGGAGTGTTTTTCATGATTACTTAGAATTGGAGCATTATAGAGGGACATATAATTTTATGATGTTCGGCTGGAGGGTTTTGATTCTTGACTTTTGTTAAAATATTTCGGAGCATACAAGTGATGTTGGTAATGATTTTCAAATAATCATTCATTAAGTTTGACTCTCACACATGACTGTTTCTTTGGGGACACGAATATTAGCTTCAGTCTTTCACGCTGCCCCAGTAACAACAGTCAATGTCTGAACCTTTTCTTGAAAAAAAAATAGAAATAAAGAAAATAAAATAAAACCAAAAAAAAAAAAACAATTTCATTACCCACGCTAGTATATAACGTAGACGCACCGCAGTGTTGGCTTGGTCCCAACCCCCAAGCAAATTCTCGACTGAAAAAACGTCAGAAATTAAATCACACTTCTCTTCACAAAATCAGTTTATGTGAAGACAAAAACCTTAAAATTTTAAGATTCAGTCCGCAACAATGTTGTTTCATCTTATATGGTCAATGCACATGGGATGGTAAAAAAATAAATAAATTACAGTAACATGAATCTCACTTTCTATTTATGCATTAACTTCAAATAAATGAAACGCATGAGAAGTGACCTGGCTAGTAGGCATCATATTCGTTAAGAGATAAAATATTCCAATTAGTATACTGTTTGAGGTTTTGAGCTTTATAGGATAATCTCTATTGTGAAGCAGATATACATTAGAATTTGTCGTTCACGGTGGAGGAAACAAGTTGAATAATTGCCCTGTCTAATATCCCCTATCCCCTCTTTAACAAAACATATCTTCTGATTTAATTTTTCGTATCTATCTTTCAATGGATAATGGATCACTATTCGCTTGTGTGTGGCCTTCCTTGTTTCAGTGCCCCTTGATTGTATATCAGACAATCACATCCGCGGGCTAGATATCAAATAATTTGACTTTCAAATTGCAGATTTTTTAAGACACTTTGACTGCGCGCTTTTAAAAAAATAAAAATCTAATTCTATATTCTTCGGCAGTACATCAAAATAAAGCAATCCATAAAATATCAAATATATAATTTTTTATAAGGTTAATAAGCAATACATCTCATAAATTTTTATATGAATAACATCCTAAACCTTGAATTTAGGAAATGTATGAAATTTTTTTTCAACTTCTAAATTTCTAAAACATAAAACTTCATTGTTAACAGTTGCTTTTAGTTTGTGATGCCCACTCACATGTCCTCCAGGGTCTAAAATGATATTCACATGATAGTTCAAATAATATATTCCTCATCAACCCTTTCCTATATTTGTAATTTTTTTTGGACAAAAAATTTAAGTGGGTTGAGTCTTAGTATTTACTTCTTTTATTACAAAATATAAGGTATTTTTAATAAAATGTTGCCCCTCAATAAAGTAATTATTTATCTTTAAACTAATATCATTTTTTATATTTATCTTTATTTAATAGGATATTTTACTTTAAAATAAATATAAGGTGATTTATTCATCAAGAGCACTTTTGGATAAAACGTAATGATTACTTATTGAAATATTAAAAATACTTCATATTTTTTAATAGAGGGAGTATCAATTATCAGGATAAGGATGTGGTTTAATTTATGAATAAAAGTATACTTGTAAA